TTCATTAGAGTTGATAATTTCTCAAAATGGGCCGCTTACCACAGTGGAGGCATTTTCTCTATTATACACTTCCTCTTCTTCCTCATCATCTCCTTCAAGAGCTAACTCGGTAAGTTCTGCCATCATTTCATCGGAGACAACTCCCTGAAGAGCCCAGAGTCGAAAAAAGCAAAAGAAAAAGACGAAAATTCAGACATCAAAACAACTGCTTTCCTTAGAAATAAAGTATAATTTGAATCAGCAGTTTTTTCACCAGCTGAGTACCTTAAAAATTATAAAAAAATCCCCTGTGAACATCAGCCAGATTTCACCGTTCACAATATTATGCAAACCATTCCTTAGACGCATAAAGCTCAAAAAACCAATGAAATAGTTTGAATATGAATTGAGAATGATGGATATGGTTGAAAAATGTCGTCAAACAGAGCAAACAAAAGCTAAAGAAATTCGAGATAAAATGTACAGTATTAACAAAAAAATGCACTAACCCTATCTTCAGTAAGTCGTGTCCAAGTACGAGTCACCTCAGCAGGTGGGGTATCCCTGAAAATGAAACCATCAATGACCCCATTTTACCATACAGCACCTATTCAGTGCAAGAACTTGTGAAATTTTTGTGAGATCTACATAAGCTAGGAAGAGGTTCGTAATAACCTAAAACGAGAACCAATGAAGGCCAGGTCATACGAAATCGTAAGAGGTACTTCACCACAAAATCAATGCTTCGCAGCTGGAAGCAAGTCACTTGTACGCGCTCTCATGGCATGGTCGTGTTCATAGCCAGCACAGCGGAACTGGAGCATCGTAGATTCCGCAGAACAGACAAAATACGACTTGATCCCGCCAAGGCTGGATGGAGTCGACAAAATCGATTCCTGTATAAGTGTTTTCATGCTTTGCAGCAGCGTTGTGAGCGCCCGAGCGTTTTGAGCGTGCGCCAGCGTTTTTAGCTATAATCGATGCCTACACTTTCTTGGTCACGCAAAACGCCGACGGACGCTTAAGGCCGCGTTCATACCGTGCGACGTCTTTTGCGTAAGTTGCGTAAGCTGCGACTAGTTCGTGAAGAATACATACGTATCGATCCGACGAAAGCTGCGTAAGTTGCGTAAGTTGCGTAAGCTGCGTAAGTTGCGTAACCGACGACAACTTCGAGAAGAATAGATACGTATCGATCGGTTAGCTGTCGTCGGTTACGCAACTTACGCAGCTTACGCAACTTACGCAGCTTACGCAACTTACGCAGCTTTCGTTGGATCGATACGTATGTATTATTCACGAACCAGTCGCAGCTTACGCAACTTACGCAGCTTTCGTCGACGTTGACGACGACGTCGCACGGTATGAACGCGGCCTTAGATGTCTGGCGCGCGAAAATTGACATGTGGTTTGGAGACACTTTTGACTCGCTCAGTTTTAGAGAGCTCTCGAGGGAAAGAACTGTTGAGTTTAGGAGAACAACAACTAGTCTCTGTTAGATCTAGATTCACTGCAATTCTTCACAGGCCGGAATGGTAAACGAATTCCAGCAAAATCAAAATGTTTTAAATGCAGCTGTAATGGAGAAGGGTACAGCTGCGTG